TTTTTTTTTTGGTTTTTTTTTTTTTTTTTTTTTTTTTTTTTTTTTTTTAGAAAAGATTCAGCACTGACAATGATTTTCTTCAAGTATTTACTGTAAGTTCTAAAGCATTCTTCGACACCAGTTTAAATCTGGAATCTATTGAAACAGGTAAACTCTCCTTGGTACTACATTACAGTACGTCATTAGGACACAAAAATCCATACATAAAGTAAAAGTCTGTTCTATAATTGCTTGCAAATTTTAAATCACAATTTTAGAATTGTTATGAGCCAGACAAAGCACTGACCAAATGAATCCACATCTCACACTTCTATAGAAATCCCAAAGCTGCAGGATGATCTGAGGAGCCTTAACAAGAGCATTAATCGAGAACTGACAAGAGAATATGTCAATGAAGCAAAGGGAGTTCTGTCTCTGATCCAAAGTGTCCAGCTGGATACAGACAAGAAAACAGTATGCATCAAAATGACACAGAATGTTGCCAATATATTATTCTGTACTTCACTGCTGTTGTATGGATGTGTTTTAGGCTGAAACGAAACACAGAATCCGCATGGAACTTGAAAACAATCTAATGAAGGCATTAAATGAATTGGACAAATATTTTGACAACATTTATAATGATTTGGAGCAACGTTTATCAAAGGGAGTGGAAGAATCAGTGCAATCATGTGTTGCTTCCACAAAGGCATTTATAATGCCGGTAAGTGTGACTCAATTGTTGTGAATAATCAACCACTCTTTTTTTTGCCCTTTTAACCAATTTTTTTTATGTCACTCTGAATATAAATGGACAGATAGCCTATAACACCCTTGAAGCTTTGTGCAGAAAGGGTGGATGCCACTGCCCGAAAAACAGGGATAAAGTTCTAAACCTGAACAAGACATTGGCCAAACACCTTCATGAATACATTGATGAAGATTTCTGTCAGATTTTTTCGTAAGTTCTGTTTTATCATTCTGTAGTCCTCTTTTGTTTTACAATAAAATGTAATGAAAACTGTTTGCATACTTTTAATCAACGTTGTTAATATAGTTGACAATTTTGTTTACAAATTATTAACATTAAATTGGAGCATGAGTAAAGATTGTAAATGCAGACCAACTACATGTACAACAATAAATCAGCAAATGACACCGGTGCCTAGGAATATACAGATTGGGTTTAATTTAGTTGCGACACACACATATATATATGTGTGTGTGTGTGTGTGTGTGTGTGTGTGTGTCAGGATTGGACTGTCTTATTGTGTTTGTGTGAATGTTGTGTGAATATTTAAAAATTTCTATTTGTTGTTGAAATATATTCAATTACACAGTGGCTGTCATAACTTGCTTCTTAACAGATTAATTTAAACATACATTAAATAATTAAGACAACACTAAGAGGTAAAGAAAAATAATGAGAATATATTTAGCAAAATGCCCTTATCTAGACTTCATTTCACTAGCGAACTAATGGGCTGATTTACGGTGCTGATCGCGGCCGCTCTAGTCAATGCTTGTGTTTATACCAGCTCAAGCTGTTTCTGATGTTTCTGAAGCGTCCCAGAAGTGGCTCTCCGAGGCTTTTATACAGCAATCTGTCATGCCACATCAAAGACTGTCAAAATGCCATTTATTGTTTGAATTTGAATATATATATATATATATGAGAAATGAAGATGTGCTTCTATGGCATGTTTTTTTCCCCCTATTATTTTCCCCTCCTCTTGTGATATGGCATTGTGAATCATATCATAGGTAATCACGGGCCAACTCTGGCTCACAGGCCCTGGCTTGAGCATCTGTGCTCTAGACATTATTTGCTCGTCTATTGAATTCATTCTTGTCCGAATATTTGGTTCATTTGCCATGATACAGCTGAGTAAGTTCACATTTATAAAGGAAACTGCGTGTTTGGGAATTTGGCCATTCCCATCACAATTTCCTTTATGTAATTCTTGTATCATATTACATTTATAATCTGTAACATGTTGTAAAAATAAACCATAATTGGTTTTCTTTTGGTTTCAGTATGAGTGAAAAAACAGGGAAGTCAGTGCAGGAACAGATTGATAAATTCACTATCATCCAGAGTGACGCTGCTTACCGCAGATCTACCATATTTCATTACATTCAAAACTTCATCAAGACAGAGGCGAGTTCAGTTGTCCTTAATACAGCCCTGCTCCTCTGTGTTTGTCTTTACTAACACAGAAAGTTTTTTGTTTTTTTACTTTTTGTTTTTTCCCCCTTCTGACAGGAAACCAAACTGAAAACATCGCTCAAAAGATACATTGTTGACATGAAGAAGGACATCTACTCATCAATCAAAAAAAGCATTGTGAATGAAATGGTTTCTTGCTATGAACGTAAGCTAGAATTAGAGTTACAATTAATCTCAAACTATTTTCATGTAAATTGTACTTTTTATTTTGTGGATAATCAAAAAGCCATTCAAAAATGCATTTCATGAAACACACATCCAAGAATTTATTCTTATTTTCTTGATAATAAGAAAATGAATAAATACGGTTGCTTATTTTAGAAGCTGCAGCTTTCAAAGGACCAGGATGCTTGAAGAGAATGCGAAACCTGTTAATAAACACAGTCGATAAGATAAAACAAAACATGTTTAACAAAGCTAAAATGGAAGTGCTTAAAAAGTGTGATAACTTAAAGGTACTGATCTCACATTCATTAGGACAAGCATGGATTTAGATTTAGATTAAGATTACACTGATTAAACTGAATCTTCTCTTGTTCTTTGTGCAGCTCCACATAAAGGATGTTCTTGAATCAGAACTAAAGAGAGCAATGGATCTCTCAAGGTCACAAACCAGCAAAACTAAATCGATGGGTGAGAAAGAATAGCATCAACACCATCTTCATAAAAATCTTGTAAGATGTTTAAGATGACTGATTAATGTCAATCACTGCCTATATATTATATCTTATGTCTTTTCTAGATGTCTCCAAAGAGATTGAAGAGCTGGAGGGACTTCTAGAGCAACTGTCTGACTGATGGCCACCAAGCAAGCAGCACATTTTTTATCACATTTTATTTTACAACATTTTATATATTGTTTAAGATGATTAATGTCAATCACTGCCTATATATTATATCTTATGTCTTTTCTAGATGTCTCCAAAGAGATTGAAGAGCTGGAGGGACTTCTAGAGCAACTGTCTGACTGATGGCCACCAAGCAAGCAGCACATTTTTTTTCACTCAC